ACTTGACAAGTGTCCCTAGTGGAATAGAATTATTATTTATAACGGCACAAACTAAATATATCTGTAATGAATACAGGAGTAACCAGTTATTACAAGGAATGCACGCATTAGACGGAATCACAAACCGGTCTTGAGGTCAAAGAAGGGTTCAAGTTATCGACTCGCCAAGATAAATAGCAGACGTTCACCGTCCGCATGAGACAGGCCAGCACCAGCAATCACTTTTTCTAAACTCGATTGTTGCGATCCGTTAGCGGTGTGCAGTCACGTGTCTGTCGCCAATTCCGCACCTGTTACCTTGTCAAGAATGCACGCCGACAAATCTTTTGTGTTCGACTCATTTGTTATTTGGGCGGAACGAAATTTAATTTGATAGTTTAATTTCTTCTACATCTACTTCGAAAAAGCGATACCATTTTGAGTTTAAGCTTTGATGAAATAGCTTGAATAACATTTCCAACAAAACTATTTCAAATCTTTCACAACAGATAAAGAGAAAAACAATTTCGACGCGAGCTAAAGATGACTAGATACACGATAACTCTATATTGATATGTATTGCCATGTAAATTTTAAACCTAAAGCAAAGTTTATGTGAAGTATTTTGCAAACTGCAATAGAAGCATATGAATAATGTTCGTCACGTTAGCGTGATGGGCAATTTCGCGGCTGTTGCTCAAATACATAACAAACATATCAATGTTAATAATGTAGATAATGCTCCGGTTTGACACGGCTATGAATGTGAACACTTCATTACTATTGCAATGTAGACTTACACGTTACACACGTCTCGTAGGTTTTACTAGCCTAAATATTTAATCCACTTTTTTAAACCTTAACTTGTTCAAAAGTAACCAAACGACTGAGAAAGTGTTACGATAGTTAAAAAGTGACGGAAAAAACAAAAATAGAGGCCTTATTGAAGTTAAACTTTTTAATGTTTTCGCTTTTAGTCCAAGTAAATAAAATTTTGTTGCTGAAATTTAAAATCGTAAATTATAGTTAATAATTAAATATTTAGTTGCATTAAATTTTGAGCGCTACAATGATAAAGTGTAATTTATTAGGTCATCGGAGTAACCAGAACACTCTAATTACATTAAATATTCATCATGTGTTATTATGATACTAATTTACCAGAATGTATCTTTATTGAATTATACCTACATTAAATAGAAGATTACACTCAGGTTATAGTACCTAATTGATAACTAAGCTAGTTTTTATTATGAGTGATAAATTTGAAATATTTTTGATATTAATGACACGTCTTTGTTTACTATCTATCTAACAGCCGGAATGTTTTTCACGAGTTATTACAAAAAATATAAGTATTAAGTATGATTATAATAAAGTATAATCTTCGATCAGCAATGCTAAGTGTTGTTGTTGTAAAGGATGACATACACATCTTTATCAATGACATAATACACATCAACAACGTGTGACCTAACTTTGAACCCCTCAGAAGTACATGGAGCTTTAAGTGAAAAAAATACAAAGGCCATGTATGAATGGAATAAATGAATTGTGGTTTTGAACTGGGACCCCATTATTGAGTAGATGCTCTGGCAACAAATGTGCAAGATTTTTACGACACACAACACTGAATAAATTATGTTTCAAGTCAAATAGTGGGTCATGGTTAGCGATAAATTATGGTGGATACGTCTAAACAAACAAATACTGAAACATTCAGCGATTCGTATATATCTTTGGCTGCAAATTACGGAATTAACAACTAGCAGCATTCACATAAAACTGAGTTTTGCTTATCAGTAAAATCAGTAAAAAATATATTATTCCGGAAACGAAGATTATAGAATTTTCTAAATAAGATAATGAGAAGAATTTGTTTCAAGTTATAAAATATTCAGCGCCGTTCAAAAACGGTAAGGCATGTTAGTTTTCTCGTTTCATTAATATTTTGGGAACTTACAAATTCACTTCTCAGATTTAAATGCAAGTATAAATAAAAACAACAAGAAACAAGATTTTTATATCGCAAATTTTAGTAAGCTTCATAACAATTGTAAAGTAAATCTGAGTTTTTCAAGGAACTAATCTTGGACTTGCGGTCCAATATAAATTTTCGAAAGCACTCTTGTTAAGCCTACATAGAAACATTATGGGAGAGAGTGGTTACAAGTACTCATAATTGCGATACTTAAAAGGAATAGGGGAAATTCAAATGCACAGCTTAGGCCTTTTCTACTTTAGCAATGTTTGGCGTTTGAATTATTAGAAGCCAGCAGAGATTATTTTACGTCAAATTATTAAAAAGCTATCGTAGTGGGAATTTTTATAGTATCCAGAATATTATACATGATTCTAATATTTATTAAACTAAACATAATTTCTATGACAAACTATTATTTTTAGCCATTGTTTTAGTCGAAACCTTTTTGAGTCTGTATTCAAAGGTATTTCGAGCCAGAGGTAGGTAGAGGTTAAGCAACACAGTTATGATGGAATGTGTCTATTTCTGAGTTACATAAGACCTTATCATACTGAGCGATGAAACTAAGAATGAAGTAGGAAACGAAAAATAAACGTGCAACCGTTTGAGTCGCCATTGGTGGCATATGATTAAAAACTATAAACATCACGGAAGATTTTAGAGATTAGAGGTTATGTTTAAGAGTAGTCTTATAAATATAAAATTAATATTTTTTATCAAGTGTCTTCTAGCATGTTAAACTGTTACTTTATGTTTATAACTCTGATGTCTTTTTGTATGAACTTGACAAGAAGATTGCGAAAAAACCACTATAGCAACAGTGTTTATCTTTTAACAATTATTTTAACTTATTTAGTGGATATGTGTAAACAATTTCGATACTGTTTGAAAACCATCTCCTAAGAGTGGATGTACTCTTAGGGGATATGTTTCAAAGAGGAAATACTGGCTATCATATTGTATCCGACAACGGGATAGATAGGGAAAGGGAATAACGAATTACGCATTTTCATTAATCACTCACAAACTATTACGATTAGTGGAAAAGTGCTACATTAAACGCTCGGTTACAAACCGTACTCACATGTTTATCAATTTTCCCTATTTAGGTACAAGTTTCAAAATGGAAAAATTTGGGAATTATCAGCTGGGTACAGATTATTTACAATATTACATGCAATGCAACACGAGTTCCCGCTCATATCTCGAAAATGTTTAAATAACATTCAATAAACATTTCAAGAAAGTAAATTTTATACAATGTCTAAATTTTGAGAGTTAAAAAGGGGGTATGTACTACATGGCCTGATCCGGCCGAACCTGCAACCTGCCTCTGTCCATAGAGCTGCTTGATTTTAAAGTGTTCTAAGTTTAGTTTTCGAACTAATAGCTGAACTGCGCAATCTACATGTAAACAGATAAGACAATATAGATAGGCAAAAGAACTGTCAATTTTCTACGATGTATGCTTAGAATTTTCGCGTATCTTCGTCCAAATCACACTACACGCACTTAAGTGTTCGTCGCAAAAACTGACATTAGGTGGTAACAAAGTGCGCGCTACGAATCATCATCATCATCACTATCATAATAGCCGTTCGAGGCCCACGGCTGGGCATAAGCCTCCCCAGTGTGTCTCCACGCCGATCGGTACTGCGCTGCCCGTATCCAGCGGCGTCCTGGGACCATTATTAGATCGTCGATGCTACGAATGTATGCAAAATATGACAAAAAGCGCATAATGTCCTTGCAAACAAAAAATGTTGCATTGCATACATGTTGTGTTGCAAATAATCTGTGTCCAGCTTTATGGGTAAATCTGTGATTTTACTTCTATTGAGAAAATTTAATATTTTGGTTATTACACACATAATTAATCTTTCTCATTTTTTAATAACAACTTGCTTGGATGTTTTTCTTTATGCAAATACAATCAATTTAATTATTATTGACCTGATAAGATGTAATATGTGTGTACAGTAAAATACATATGGGCTCCTTGCCAACCTAGGTCATTAGCCCATAACGCTGCTGAAAACTAGTTCATTTGAATTCTTCAGATACTTACTAATATTTAAATAACATTATTATTATTTTTAAAGTTTGCATTTATAATATAAGTAGGAAAATCAAAAGCCCTATTTTAGTTTCCTACAGTATTCCATCAGAAGATAGAATAATTTAGTCAGAATGAGTAAGTTTTAAAAAACAAGTTTACTGTCAATTTATTCAAGTTAGTGTAGTACTTTCTTATTTATTATTGAATGAAAATAATGTTGTGCTATTAGGATATAGTTATTTCTTTGTTATTGTTTTTTATTTTTTTATTCACTTAAAGTTGTAGGATTACATACCTCATACTTACTATGTTATGTACAATTTATTGACTATAGACTATCCTCACTTTTTATATATAAACATTTAATTAACATTTAATGAAGTTTTTAAGTCACATTTAGATAACTGTGAACTAGCAGCCCACATAAAAATAGATGAGATAAAATAACCACATTATTTCTACGAAAGTAGAGCAGACATTTGAGTGTCCCGCTAGCAACCGTCAACTAGTTTTGTTATTTTTAAATTAGTTCAGTTCTTTGCTAAGTATACATATGATACTACAACAAAAAGAGGTTTTTAAATAAGAAATACTAAAAGATTATCTTTATTCTTAGTAATAACATTTGTGCAGACATAGTGACAGGTCCCAAATTATCTGCTGTAACCTAAAAATAGTAACAACCCATGCCCTGGAAATCTAAGATGCGGACCTGAGCCGATAAACTATTTGTTGGAACTGACACGCTTTAGTGCAAACATTACAGCCGTACAGGTGATTTAGATACAACCTTGGTCAAAAAGCAACAGGTGAAAACCAGGCGCTATGGAAACCGGCTACAGGGAGAAATCGAGAAACTTATCCAGACTGTAAAATAAATCAAAAACTGGCTAACTTTCACAACACCGGGTTGTTAAAATACTACATCAACACATTTTTCTCTACAAGAATACTTCAAACATATTAGTGAAATATTACCTTTTCCTTGGCTCGTCCAGCATGTTTTTGCACTGATTTCGCTATTAACGCACCTTTACTTTCAGACATTTTTATCACTTTTTCATTACCGTCTGTCTAAATTACTATTCACCACCAATCTGTAATAGAAGCTGGCCGTAGCTATTTGCCGTCACACGTCAAAATCCAAGTAGGAGCGCACGTACCACTATAACCCGTCCCGCAACGCGAATGACAGAAAACTTACACACTAGCGCTGCAATAGCGGTCGGTCCCGTAATCACAGAAAATTAATACTGTTGTGCCTATTTTTTTCAGTAGATGGCACTAACTTAAAAACTGAATAAAGTGCTTGTTCCCAAGCAACATAAACTTCGCATTTGTGTTATTATACCTTCATAAGTGTATTATAATAGTATAGTATTCATAAGTGTTAACAAAATTGATAAAAAAAAAAACTTCGAATTTTAAAAACCGGCGTCAGACATGTGCTCAATAAAATCTTTGCTACAATGAGGAAGTATTAAAAAAAAAATATTGGTTCCCGAAATCAAACTAGATGTCACTACAGTACTTTCTTGATTTCTCCATGATAACCCTTCCGGTTTTCTTTCATGTATAAAAGTAAATTAGTTTTCAAAACTCAATGAACAACTCATATTCTATTTGTATATTTTCGTATTTGTATTGATATGTAAATTTCGAACTTTGCAAATTTCAGTTTTATAATATGTTAGTTAAAAGGAATCGGAATGACTACCTTTGGTCCAATCGTTTCCTGCAAAAATCAACTTTTGCTAGGATCGCTATCTAGTGAAGATGCTTTTTTAGTGCTTTCTTGTTTTTCTTAAATACTTCCTCATACAACTAATAGGTTGGTCCACATGACTGCCAACTAAAGTGTCGACCAAGGTAACTTCGGTAAAGGGGTGTCTACAGGTACAGCGTCCACACGCTTGCCGATCAGCTTTCATATACGTATATACGTGTAAGTGATTAATATAGTACAGCACCAGGACACACAAATGACAAATTTCTGTCACTAAACTGTTACATGAAATGCAAAACGAAACTTATTCCAAAGGTAACCGTCCCATATTTTTAAAATTTAGATGAAATTACTTATTAAAGTAATTTTTCTTGGTTACTGCTTAATGCTTACAGAATAGGAAAAATAACAACAGTTTATATTCATAATGAAAAATGCTTAAATAATCCATTTTGTCTTTGTTACTCTGAGATAGGAGTCTCTCATGGCCGTTTTCACTAACTTAAAACATGGTTTAGCTTATTGTTATTGTCTCTTTAGGTATAAAGGCCATTAACGTGTCATTGGCGGAATGAGGAAGTATTTAAAAAAAAACGAAAGCACTAAAAAAGCACTTCCACTAGATGGCGCCTCTATCAAAAGTTAATTTTTGCAAGAAACGAATGGATCAAAGACTGTCATTTCCGTTCCTTTTAACTAACATATTAAAAAACTAAAATTTGAAAAGTTTGAAACTTAGATAACTTAGTTTGATTTCGGGTTATTATGAAAAAAGAAGGAAGGGGCTTTGACCAAATCCATACCTCCTTACTAGTTGGTCTGCACAGATATGCTGGTCTGTGGCCAAATCAATGTTGTTGTTACTTGTTAGTTCTCTTATTGGTCGAATTTTCATGTCCGGCGGTCCGATTTTTTCAGGTCCGATATGTCAGGCCATATGTAGGTAATTCGCGCTTGTGCACTGTCAGGAATTTTACCGTCCGGAATTTTACTTTTCTCTATTCCGGACCGGTTTTTTCAGGTCCGTGATGGCGGCAATGAAAAACGTGTTTACGCTTGTACACTGCTGTGTCCGGTCCGAGATCAGGAAAATTCATAAGGAATAGGCTTGGGAAAAAATTATCGATTTGAATCGATATTTATTTCGGCAATATTGTTAATTTCCAATAAACTTATAATCGATATTTATTGTTGATTATAAAATGCTATATTTTATATGATGATTTAATATAGTTGGTATATATCACTGCATATGCTTTAGCAAACTCGGTATAGTTCTAATTTGATCAGCATATGGTTCTAGTATCGATACTTAGCTACATTTTAAAATCGTATTAAAAGTATCGATAGCTTAAGTAAGATAAATAAGTGTTGTTACGTTTAGACAACTGAACCCATCTAAATGGAAATTAATATAGTAAATAGACTTAACTTTAAGAAAGGACATAGGCTACATTTTATCGCGAAAAATAGGGGATGAAAGTTTGCCTGGAAATTTGTCATTATCAAATTTTTTTTAAACAATTGATAAGTATAGATAAATATTTGACAACAGAAGTAATAATAAAGAATAAACAGAAGATTAACAAAAGTAATTAAGTGACACTCGATGTCTTTTTGGCATTTAATAAAATTTTAAATGTATGTTTGTGTCATTAATAAATTTAAAAAAAGTAAGTATTCTAAGGGAATAATATTTCTGCTCAAAGAAACTACACCACGCGTATAAAATTATGCCTATATATACAGTCAACTGATCTCGTAAAGTTCATTTAGCATAATAATTCTCCGCTAACACGGCACTAATTTCGATTTGTTTACGAAATGGCGCCACCGATTGGTCTATCTCTGTAATCACTGAAAGTTGTTTTTACAAAACTTCGAAAAAAAAATAGCACATTTAAAAATTTAAACATTAAGTACTAGACCATTATCAGTAATTTTATTCTAATGTTAGATATTTTTAGCTATTGTATGTGAATAATGCTGTTCATAAATTAGTAAGGGTATAAGTTTTTACATCTGATAGTAGTCATCCGATAGTAGTAAAAAAAATGCTTTCGTCTTGCCATAATTTATTATGGTTTATGTAAAACGATCAGATCATTATTTAGGTACCTTTCTACGTCTTCGAATGGAATTACCAACGTTCCAAAAATCTCATCGTACCTAGCGTAAGTGACGTGTAGCTTCAAAGAGAGCTGCCCTACACTGCGCCGCTCCTATCAGGAAAAGAACGCACAAGTGCACAAGCTACTCATCCGAGTTTTTCATGTCATTCCGGACCGGAAAAAATCGGAACGCTGGACCTGAAAATTCAGTGTAGTGCACAAGATTTTATTTCGTTTTAAATCATTTTTCATCTCCTCTTTAATTATGGTAAGAATATATTAAAATACTCATTTAATCAGTATATAATATTAAATAACTCCAATTACTTTAGAACGTCGTTATTATTTAGGAGCCTAAAAACGAGCTACAGAAGAATGCTATCGCTGAAGCTCGAAGAAAAGAGTTGGAGACCTATCAGAGGGCTTTGGACATTCAATGGTTGAACAGTCGTATGGAAGACGGCCGTATGGGGAGATGTTTAGCCCTGATACAGAAAGAGGCTGAAATGGAGAAAGACTTTCAAGAGGTTGTACATTGAGCACTAGATCTGTAAACCATAAAATGTTAAATCCCTGCAGGTGATTTAAAACAACCCTGATTGCTTTAAGGTTTAAAAGGAAAAAATAATTTGACAGTTTTGTATAACCACTTGCTGGTCACTAAATAGTTTCCTTAGTTTACAGAAATGTTAATATAAACAACATGGAAGAATAAACTACATAAATTGAAACATTGATTATGACAATACAACTATGAATTAACTATACAATTGTTTGTTCCTCAAATACAGCCCTTGATACTCAAACTCATTTATTGCACAAATTTTAAAATTAATTTTTATTACACTGTCCATAATATGGAATCTGAGAGGTTCTGATAATATAAATCATTAATGTCAAGAGAAACAATCTTGAGAGTAGATTATGTATAGCAAATTAAACTCATATAGCAAAAAAATATAGGTATTATTTCCTGTTTTACCTGTTTAATTAGGTGAAAACATGATTTTATTTTAATGTCCATTAGAAAAAAATTGCTATTTTATTCTAAAATGAAAATCTTTTTTATAAACTGTATTGAGTCAAAATTGAATCATAAAAAATTGCTCAGGGTGCCAGGGACCTAGTGAATTTTTTAAGCATTTTGTATTAAGAATAATTTACAGTATAGCATTGTGAATGTGAAATTAATCAAATATAACAATATTGTCTTTACAGAGAACTGATCATGCTGCGATTGTCAATGCTCGAGCAGAAAAGGAGATAGCTCTTGGTATTGAAATAGCTAAAGTACGTGCTGAGGAAGTTTGTAAGCTGCAGAGGCGTCACTATTTGAGAGAGAGGGATCCAAGCTTAAGGGAATTATCTAAAAAGTTACAGGCTGGTTATGTTTGCAGGGACTTGAGGCAGCAAATACTGAATAATGAGTATAGAAAGTTACAATTACAGGTACATATTTGATCTTTTATGTAAATAATATATTTTACAATAACCATCATAGTCAGAAGTAAGAAATTAAAGTACACAAGGCCCATATTTTGAGGGATTGATGCTTGATATAGATTACTAATATAAAACTTATGAGAGTAGTTGTTTTTTAGTATTCTATATATTAAATATGCACATAGTTTCATTTTTTGTCATAAATGATGACTGAATAGTCAAAGTTGATAATTTCTAGTCCACTTATGAAATATTGTATTTTTTCGGAATAGTAGGTCCACTTTTTCCCAAATAAGTGTTTTCTAAAAATTGTTAATGAAAATTCGAGATATTTGATTTATAGAATTTAGTTTGGTCCAGTTTAGTTACATTCAAGTAATTATAAAATAATTATTATTATTATGAAACTTTTTTGCCTGCTCTTTGTGGAAATCTTCACCTGTTCCTCAGTAAGTATGTATTCTTTGAGTCCATTGATTTGATAATTTAATTGTGAACTAAGTAAAAATCTTAAAAAAGACTAAGTAAATAATAAATAAATATTACATTACGACTTTTGCCCTATATTTATTTGATATATTTTATTAATAAATTTATTAATTTTGTAAAATTAAAAAAATAATAATCAATAGATTTTAGAAAATGTGTGTAGACTAAAAAGTCATAAATAAGAAAATAATATTGTTAGCCAGTTCTTTTTTAAAATTAAAAATAATTTATTCTTCAGGCAGAAGAGCAACATGCTAACAGTGTACTTGTCAATGCCCTCTACAATGATGCTGAAGCAAAACTTCATGAGGAAACAGAGAAAAAGAAACGGACCACTCAGTACTGTCTTGAGTTGCAGCAGCAATTGGTGAACCGACAGCTTGTCAAGCAGTGCCAGTACGAAGATACACTCATTGAAAAGAAAATGCTAGACGATATAATGCGCACTATAGCTGATGAAGATCAGAGGTCAGTAAATTATGCAACATGTTGGTTGCTTAAAATCAGTCTTGTAGTTTTGTATTTGTTTATTACAAACAGATATGATGATGTGTAGCTCGGTGGCATAGAGTCATTAATACCACTGATTATATATAACAAGAAAATCTACATAAAAGTGCGCTCGAGCAACGCACACATAGACAACACTCACAGTCATGACATCTTGGACTGTTTTGAACCAGTGTGAGCGCGAATGCCTTGGCTTTAGACACGCTTTACCTACTTTAAAAAGAAATGAAATGTCAGAAAAAGTATTATTACAATTGTTCAGTAGAGTATTGTTTAAATTCAACATTAAATTAATAAATATTTTTAAGCTACTAGTTGTTTCAGAGAGGTAATTAGAAATATATTTGTCAGTGTTGATGATGATGAGACATTTTTTTCTTTCTGTTTAATTCTCAACAATAAATCAAACAACCAGACATAAATGTCACTACTACGAAAGTTTTATGTGCATAAGCCTAAGTTTACAACCTTAGCCCGACCACTGAGTGTAGGTATAAAAAATGAAGTACATTGTAACGTAAAATTTACGTCACATGTAATTTTTCATACAACTTGGCTGAATGGGCCTAATCCCGAGGAAAATTTGTTTCGTAAAAAAAAAAAATATAAACTTCACTGTCGGTTTTGACATTTGTCACTTCACGACCTTTTTAAATAACGAAAAGATGTGACTCTTTTGTTATATTTTAATCTTGTTGCATCAACGGTATTTAAGTAAAAATACCTTATATTTAATAATGGTAAGCATTATTCTTCATGGAATTATAATTTTTCTTATAGTATTTTCCTATTTTCAAATTTTTTATCTTCGCAGGTGGAAACATAAACCTACTTAGGGGTCCACCTTGCCCCATGTTGCTTTAGTTTTTTGTTTTAAAACGGTAAGTTTTCGAAAGGATCGACCGATATATTTTCGTTTGTTTTGTTTTCTAAATTTTAAACGGTGTGATTTTCTTTTCAGCCGTTGGCGTTTTTTTTTTTTTATATACAAGTTTTCTTGTACTTCAATTTTGATGTACTGATCATAACCTTTACCGCATGAGCCACGCCACACTCACTTGATACATCACAATCTTGGGCACGCCAGCTTAGCACTATATAATTAAGAAGCAGCTATGTAAGCACGATGCATTAAGGAGCAGCTCATTTGGTGATGTAAAACCTTTTTATTAATAGTTCGAAAATTCCAATCACCTCTAAGACTTTAGAGATTATAAACTTAACTTTAATTTCAAAATATATAAAAGTTTCATTCAAATATATGGCAAACCAAAAGTAAAAGTTGTTGTTTGTTATTTACAAGCCCCCCTTGCGATTAAAACTCCAAACTCTCCGGCTTTGTTTTCCAGGTAGGTCTGGCGCCTGAAAAAATTTATACTAGTTTCTTATAATTATTTAATTTGTTAGTGACCTACCTTTTGGCAAATTTCTTTGCAAACTTACATTATTTTTAATATCACAATTTTCACAGTAATAATTTTCAAATAGTAACCATCACACAGTAATAAATTAATTTTTTTTATATTACAATTGACGCCAGCTCACAGGGACTTGGTTTTGAAGTAGCGAGCTCACTTTACAAGCTTTTTGGTTTGCCATTTTATTAAAATTTTATTCGAGTGTGGTTCAAATTAAATTAAACATAATATGCCTATTTTATTTTAATGTCATAATTACTAATTTGTGTGTACTACTTTATTTTCCCTACCATTTATCTTTGGATTTGTTGCTTGCGGCTAAGCATTTGCTTATTTATGTGAATACTTGCTGTGTTTACACCATTTATTTCACAAGTGATAATGTGAAAAATATTTTTTGTTCAACCACCTACTAAAAGAATTTACTAGTGAAAGTATAAACAAACAGACAAACTCTGTATTGTCCTTTTGTTTAAACTGATAAAAACATAGCTATTTGATGTGATCATTTGGTTCATACTTTGTTATTTACATTTCTAAATGCAAATTCACAAAGGTTATTCTCTTGTTTATGCTATATAAGAACTATTTGTTCCAACATTTTATATCTACTATATAAAATAGTTTGTTACATTAAGCTTAAACTTTTATAACAGGTTTCTTTTATAAAAGACAATGTTCTGCAGGTTATTTTGAGTGGTTAAAGAAATTATTTTTATTGAAATTAAACATAGAACAATAATAGGTATTAATTAAAATTGTCATAAACTTAATATTTGAAATTAAATTATTAAAACTTATGTTACAACTTAAAAATATATTACACTTAAAGTAATTTAAAACTTAATTCAATAATAATTTGAAAACCTTTATCATCATTGTGGTATTTTGTATTTATTGAACTTGTAACAATTATCATTATTTGCATTTACTTAGAACTTGAAGTTTTAAAATTAACTTTGAATTTTTTGTTATTGAACAAGTGTATACTTAATTTAAGATTAACTTAAAACATTTAGCATTAACTTGAAACTTTTTTGTTATTTGAGTCATATTATTGCAGTAATAATTTACATAAAACAATTGGAACTTAGTTGAATTTTGACAAATAATTTTGACATAGGTTATTAAATTTGTTAAACTTGCTGCATCTTGCTGACCTTTTTGTGTCTTATTTGAGTGAATTGAATAATAATTTCACTGCTATTTTTGCATTCCACAAAAATGGAAACGGAAAAACTTGCACTGGCTACTGCTTCACAGCCTAAGGAACAGTCAATTACTGTTGCAACAGATACAAGTGATTTAGCTTCACCGCCTGCTTTTACACACCCACTTGCACCTGAATTGATAAATTTGACTGATAATATTACACTACACAATTCAAGATTGCTTGATTCGCAACCAGCTTTGCAACCAGCGACCACAAATGCTTCACACAATAGTACAAATTTAGGTCATAATTTGGGTGTTGACCATTTGAAAAAGTCAACATATTATAAACGTCCTGATGTCTCCAAAAGTAAAATTTTGTTTGATGGTAAGTCTTGTGTTCGTGAATTTATAACTAGTGTTGATGAGTACATGGTTTCCAGAGATATTGATGAATACTTTATTGTCACATCGTTTTCAGATTTTCTTACTGGTGTTGCAAAAAAGTGGTTCCGCACTGTTCGAGTGAATTATAGTTCTTGGTATTCTCTTAAAGTCGATTTACTTAAACGTTTTGATAAACTTGATTTTGATTACCAACTTGAATTTCTTTTACGCACACGTAAACAAAAATCCACAGAGACTTTGTCTGATTTTATAATAGAACTGCAGGATATGTCTTTTCGTCTTTCTGATCCACTTTCGGAACAAAATTTAATTAACATTATTAAGCATAATATGTTGCGCTCATATGCCATGTATTTTGTTGGCCGAAACATAACTTCTATTGACCAAATTGTTCGATTGGGAAGAGAAATTGAAGAACTCGCTTCAGATAGTAATTCTATTAAATCGGAGTCACGCTCATCTTGTTCTAGGGGTAGTAAAATTCATTTAGTTAACGTTAAAAGTGATAAAAATTTAACTTGTTTAAAATGTAAACGTCAAGGTCATAACTATAGAAATTGTTCAAGCATTCCTGGCATTATTTGTTTTAATTGTCACAGACACGGAGTGACTACCCTCACCTGCGACTGTAATAAATCACAAAATTGTAACAAAAAAGTCGAAATTTCTGAACCGGTTCCAAAAAACTAATTAGGCCTCATCGAGCTCCGCTTTGTAGCGAAGTGCGTCGAGACTCGATGGAAAATAGAAGTGTTAATGTTAATAGTGGACATAGAAAAGAATTTGATGATTGGATAAATTACTTGAAGGTATTTTTTAAAAATTATAAAGTAGCTCCAATTCTTTTTGTTAAAAACACTGATAATAGACCTTATCTTAAATTTAATGTTGGAAATAGTAAATTTACTGGAATTTTAGACAGTGGTGCTAATTGTTGCGTTTTAGGTGCGAATAGTCACACACAATTTTTAGAATTAGGATATAAACTTCAACCCATACATAAAAAAGCTCATACAGTGGATGGATCTTCTCAAAATATAATTGGAATTTTAGATTTACCTGTGACTTGTGATGATGTTACACACATAGTTTCCTTTATGGTTATACCCTCCTTTGAACCAAATATAATATTAGGTTTTGATTTTTGGTTAAAATTTGACTTGGCTAAAGATTTATTTAAACACATAACTTTTGTTAACGACAGAGATGTAAACGTTTGTTCTGTTACATCTGCTGCTCATCTTTCTCCTTCTGAGACAAAACAACTCGATAAAGTAATTAAATTGTTTAAAGATATTTCTTACGAAAAGAATGGTTTGGGCTTAACTCATTTAACTGAACATAAAATAACTACTACTGGTGAACCGATTAAACAACGCTATTATCCTTTAAGCCCAGCTAAGCAGAAAGAAGTGTATGATGAGGTTGAGGTTATGTTAAGAGAGGGAATTATACAACCTTCCAAATCTCCCTGGAGTTCTCCTGTTTTGACCGTTCCTAAAAAGGACGGGGGTATTAGACTTTGTTTAGATTCAAGAAAATTAAATTCTGTAACTGTTAAAGATTCTTATCCACTACCTTATACTTCTTATATTCTAGATAACCTTAGAGGTGCTAAATTTATTAGTGCAATTGATTTGTCTAAAGCCTTTTTACAAATTAAATTACATCCTGCTTCCCGCGAGAAAACTGCATTTTGTATTCCTGGTAAAGGTCTCTTTGAATTCATCAGAATGCCCTTTGGACTTTCCAATGCACCTGCTGAACTCCAAAGACTTGTTGATAGATTGTTTGGTCCTGAATTTGATAAGAATACCTTTTGTTATTTAGACGATTTGATCGTTGTTTCTGATAATTTTTCAAATCACATAGACCTCCTTAAGAGGGTGTATAAAGTTCTTAAAGATGCTGGTTTAACGGTAAACTTAAAAAAGTGTGAATTTTGTAAAGAACGATTGAGATATTTAGGTTATGTAGTTGATGGTAAAGGTTTACACACTGACCCTTCTAAATTAGATTCTATAGAAAATTTTCCTCGTCCTAAAACTGTAAAACAACTTCGTAGTTTTCTTGGTCTTTGTTCATATTATCGTAGATTCATTTCTAAATTTGCTGACATAGCTTCCCCATTAACTAAATTAACTGGTGGTAGTAAAAAACTTAAAACAGGTCTTGAATGGAATGACGATGCTGAAAGATCGTTTCAAGATCTTAAACAATCATTAGTAACTGCTCCTGTACTGCAATGTCCAGATTTTAATAAACCTTTCTTTTTACATTGTGATGCTAGTTCTGTTGGTATTGGTAGTGTTTTGAGTCAAGAAGATGATAATAATGAACAACATCCAATTGCATTTTATTCTAGATCTCTCAACAAATGTGAACGTAATTATAGTGTGACAGAAAGAGAACTTTTAGCCATTTTGGATTCTATAGAACATTTTAGACCTTATGTTGAAGGTATGAAATTTACTGTGGTCACTGATCATGCGAGTTTAAAATGGCTTTTAAACTTGAATAATCCTTCTGGTCGTTTGGCTAGATGGGCTGCAAGAATTTCACAATTTACCTTTGATATAATTCATAAGAAAGGTTCTCAACATGTAGTTCCAGATACTCTTTCACGTTATGATATAGCTGCAATAACTGCAAACTTAAATCAAATTGTTTCTCCTCATGATGATATTGTAGATTCTTGGTATAGAAAGATTTTTATAGATTGTCAAAAATATCCAGCCAGATATAAAAATTTTAGAGTTGAAAACGATACTTTGTATAGATTCTGTAAGTCGAAATATAACTTAAATAGTAATTTAGATTGGAAAATTGTTATTCCGAAGGAAGATATTTTGGACACTATTAGAAGTAACCATGACGATTTAAATTCTGGTCATTTAGGAAGCCATAAAACTTTACATAAAATAAAACTACATTATTTTTGGAAAGGTATGTTTAATGATATACATAAATTTATAAATTCTTGTGAAACTTGTAAAGCTTACAAACATTCAACTTCTAAACCGCTTGGAACTATGATTAATCCTAAAAAAGTAGATAGACCCATGATAATGATTAGTATGGATTTAATTGGTATTTTGCCTAAGACTTATTCTGGTCATAAATTTATTTTGTCCGTAGTAGACGTTTTTACAAAATATTGTTGGTTATTCCCCTTGGCTAATGCAACAACTGGTTCAATTTGTAAGTTCCTTGAAAAAGACATTTTCCTGAAGTTTGGATGTCCAAAGATAGTTATATGTGATAACGGTACCCAGTTCACTTCAAAGAATTTTGTGGATTTTCTTAAAAGTTTTAATATTAATAAGATATTTTATAATACTTTGTATACTGCACAAAACAATCCTGTTGAACGTTATAATAAAACAATTGAAACTTGTATATCATGTTTTGTTCGTGATGATCATAGAACTTGGTCTAAATTTCTCCCTCATGTTCAATTAGCTATGAATAGTAGTGTTAATTTAGCTACAGAATTTACTCCAAACTTTCTAATGTTTGGTAGGGAATTAATATTTGATGCATCTTTACACCGTTTTAGTAATTCTTTTGATAATTTAACTCAGATCGATCTGGTTGATCGTTCTAAATTTGCAACTTTTCTTGCTTCGCTTGAAGATATTTTTGTTAAGGTTACGAATTCTTTGTTTAAAGCATACAAACGTAATGCTAAATATTACAACAAAGGTCGTGGGGTCACTTCTTATGATGTGGGTGATATTGTTTGGAGAAGAAATTTTGTTCAATCTAGTGCTGCTCATTATTTTTCGGCAAAACTAGCTCCAAAGTTTATTAAATGTAAAGTAGTTGATAAAATTTCTAATAACGTTTATATTTTGAAAGATTTAACTAAAGGCACTACCGGACGTTATCATGTCAAGGATATTTTGAAAACTTAAATTTTGATCATTTGTAATTTTATTGTTTAAATAAATAAACTTTTGGGTCGGTTCTTGTGATTTGAGTGAAAATCGGGGTTGTAAGGATTTTATTTGCGTGAAGAATGAAAGGTATCCCCGAATGTTAGACGATGAAAGAAAGGATATCATTCAATTACAAATTCTGCTCTCATATAAGTAATATTAATACTTTCCAAATTATTAGTTTTGTCATATAGTATTGGATCTTAGTAAATTTGTTAAATTAATTTAGAATTAACTTAGTATTCCTTCTTTTTACACACATCATAAGATTTTATTATTCTTGTATAGGACAGAATTATCTGTTGGGATTTTAAGTCCTATTATTTTTCTGTACAGATTTATTTTTAATTTTTGTATAAGTTTGTACATTATTTACATACACAGTAATAGTATGTAGTTTGTCTTTCGTTACGTTATTATTTTGTTCGAATTTGTGTTACACTCGGATTTGACTTTCTTTGAGTACTCATAAAACCTTGGATTTGACATCCTTTTGTTGACCTTATTGTCCTCCATAGGAGACAAAATTTTGATTTTGATCTTTGTCTATGTTTGTTCACATTTGTGATCAACATTTTTTTTGTGTGCTTCATGTCGGAAGTTCGGTGGAATGCTTTAATCGGGGAAGGGTGAAATGTAACTTAAAATTTACGTCACATGTATTTTTCATACAACTCGGCTGAATGGGCCTCACCCCGAAGAAAATTTGTTTCGTAAAAAAAAAATATAAACTTCACTGTCGGTTTTGACATTTGTCACTTTACGACCTTTTTAAATAACGAAAAGATGTGACTCTTTTGTTATATTTTAATCTTGTTGCATCAACGGTATTTAAGTAAAAATACCTTATATTTAATAATGGTAAGCATTATTCTTCATGGAATTATAATTTTTCTTATAGTATTTTCCTATTTTCAAATTTTTTATCTTCGCAGGTGGAAACATAAACCTACTTAGGGGTCCACCTTGCCCCATGTTGCTTTAGTTTTTTATTTTAAAACGGTAAGTTTTCGAAAGGAACGACCGATATATTTTCGTTTGTTTTGTTTTCTAAATTTTAAACAGTGTGATTTTCTTTTCAGCCGTTGGCTTTTTTTTTTTATATACAAGTTTTCTTGTACTTCAATTTTGATGTACTGATCATAACCTTTACCGCATGAGCCACGCCACACTCACTTGATACATCACAATCTTGGGCACGCCAGCTTAGCACTATATAATTAAGAAGCAGCTATGTAAGCACGATGCATTAAGGAGCAGCTCATTTGGTGATGTAAAACCTTTTTATTAATAGTTCGAAAATTCCAATCACCTCTAAGACTTTAGAGATTATAAACCTAACTTTAATTTTATAAAATATATAAAAGTTTCATTCAAATATATGGCAAACCAAAAGTAAAAGTTGCTTTTTATTTACAAGCCCCCCTTGCGATTAAAACTCCAAACTCTCCGGCTTTGTTTTCCAGGTAGGTCTGGCGCCTGAAAAAATTTATACTAGTTTCTTATAATTATTTAATTTGTTAGTGACCTACCTTTTGGCAAATTTCTTTGCAAACTTACATTATTTTTAATATCACAATTTTCACAGTAATAATTTTCAAATAGCAACCATTAACACAGATTTGATTACCTTCTGGTATATTCTGTGGGGACGGAAAATCTTATTTTTGCCTTTATAAATCCGATTTCCCAACTTTTAGTTTACTAGTTTAGATTTGTGTCAATTAAACATACGCTTTGTGTATCGTCCACGTGTCAGGGAGCTGAAGCAGAAGCGGGAACAGACAGAGAAGATGCGTAGGGAAATGGTAAGTTTTCAGCAGGCGCGCGACGCTTGGCGACAGAAGCAGAAACAAATGGTTGTGTTGGAGGAGCGAGACATCGAAGCGCAACGTCGCGCCGCTGCAGACAGATCATCAGCCATGTATATACTTATATATTTAATTCTTCTTACATGATTAGCAGCGATTATGTCTGCTTTCACAATTTAATTAGTCGCACTCGAGATTTTTTCATGTTAATATAAGTCGTTGAGTGCAAATGAATGAGTGTGTGACGATTAAAGTCTACTCACTAGTGGGGAGTGACATTTGACAAATACTATTATTTATTATAACAAATTATAAAAAAATGCTTTTGTATCATCCAACACTTTTTTTTAGAAAGTTGTCCCCGCTTGCACCCAACTACAATATATTAATGCGAGGCTTATATAGGCATGATGCATAGGTAAAAAAAAAACTATTTAGTCCGTCAGACAGTAAATAGGAAAAATATTACATACATCTTTTTTTGCTTAAATTTAACAAGAAAAGTACATGTGTGATGATGTGACGCATGCGACATTTCAATTCAATGTATTGCCGTAATTTGTGGTTACGCAAAAAAAAAAATTAAATATACTCAAATTATCTACCTGCCAGACAAACCAACAAAAATTTGTTATCATCCCTATTATTTAGTGGGGTGTTGCACACATATTAAGTACTAGCTTTCGCCAGCGGCTTCGCCCGCGTGGACCCTAGGGAAATGTTTAGTGGGATAAAAAGTATCCTATTATCTAAGTCAGCTAACACCCTATCTGTATACCAAATTTCATCAAAATCCGTTCAGTAGTTTCGGCGTGATTGACGTACAAACATCCAAACATCTAAACATCCAAACAAAGAAACTTTCACATTTATAATATTAATAGGATAAATAATTTTTGATGGTTACATATTAATTCCTTCGTAATCTTTCATTTTACAGTATTGCAGAGAGACAACGGAAAATGCGAATGAAAGAAGAGCTGAATGAGAAAATCTCTGCCAAGATTATGGCAGATGAGGTATAAATAGTGAATTTTATTACAGACTAATTTTTATCACAAGCCTCTACTGCTAAACATGCTGTCCTGATAGTTGCACTCACCAAATCTCAGTGTAGATGAGTGGCTGTTAACAATTGCAGAGCAACCAGAATTAACGTCTCAATATTCCTTCCGACATATGAGGCCGCTAGAGACAGTTAATTCTTTGCTTACATATCTCATGACCAACTTTTATGAAAGCTGTTTAACCTCTGATCTCATCACAGAGTACAAGTTGGCCAAATTTTGGGTTTTTATATTAAATTTGTAACTCTGTGGAGTAGTGGAATAGTGCCGAGGCTCACGATCGTTGTTGTTAAAAACTTTCGCAAGGGTCTGTCACGGGATGGGTGACCAAAAAATAATTAGAGAGCTACTTCGTGCTTCGGTACGTTAAATCGTTGGTGGCGGCTGTATTTGCAGTCGTTAATACAAATATAATTTTGTATATTTGCTTCTCGCTAAGGAAATGGTAATTAAGTATATTATTCGGCAGGCGGCCCGTCAAGATCGCGAGAATATAATCAAACAGCTTCAAGAGCAAGAGTATTTGGAGAAGAATTTCCAAGACGACGTGGCAGAAAGACAGAAGGCGGAACGTGTGAAGACTGATACTAAAGTTGCCCTCACAGCTCAAATGGACTCCAGGAAACGACTGGAAGCCGAACAGAGGATAAGGGAACAGGAGTTCAGGAAAAAGGTATTATGGAGTTGTTAGATTTATCTACACAAGCAGTGCATTATGTTACTATAAAAGGTCAATTTGTGCAACAATATAACAGTGATGAATATAAAATATGTAACTGATATTAAAGGTTTTGATTTATTGTCTATGTGTCATGTGACTAAAAAACTTTGATTTAAATTTTGATTTAAGTTTAAGGTGAAAAAACGTGTTTATTTTTCCGAAATATTTACAAGTGTTCTTTCACGTTTTACTCTGTTGAGTAAACATGTAGAATTGACTGTAAACTAAAAATAATATATGTGATACGTAATTATTCAAATTTATTGGTATAAAATGTAAAATGTTAAATTGTGAGTCACGTGACTGCAAACGGAACTAGTAAAAGAGTGGCGTCATTGTTTAAAATGACAGAATAAAAGAACAACATTGACATTAGTTACGTGGGTTTGTTCAGAAAAAAAAACTCAAATAGATCTTCTTGTAAAAATTGAATTTCGATAAAATCGGCATAAAAAGCATCGGCATATTCAATTAATCTTGATATTTTGAAACGGCTCAAAATGTTTTGTAACTGATTTAATTTATGGGAATTTCAAATTGATGAGTTTAAGTGTGTTTTTCCTTTTATATATTTTCGATAAAAAGAAATATGACTGTGGTGTGTGTGTCATGTTTTAAAATACTGTTCCTAAAACAACCAAGTTGCCAATTATTCCTTATAATTCGTAGACTGAAGAGAAATTAGCTGCAGACAACGAGAAAGAGTTGGAGAAGCAGCGCAAGCTGAAGGAGAAAGCACAAATCTACTCAATTGAGCTACTCAAGCAGATAGAAGATAACGCTCGTAGGAGGAAACAGGAACAGATGTTGGAAGATGGACGAGCAAAATATGTTTGGGACTGTGATAAAGCTTGGTGAGTGCAGATTAGTGATAATTTGACCCCTATCGTGGTATGCTTGATGTATTTACTGTTCTAATGTCACATAAATATCATGTTAGTGGATTTGGAATCGTGGGAAAAGTGGGTAATTAAAAAAGTCGCTTTTTAATTACACATATCTCTACCAAATTATTAATAAAATTTTCTGTCTATACTTTAGCAATTAGCATAGTCCTTATCTCACAAGTTTCTTTAGAACCAATCCTTTATATGTAACAGATTAGAGGTATATATTGATATGATTGGTCTTTGTATGAAAATGCTAGTGTTATATTCGAGTAGCTAGGTGGGGTAGTGGATAAGCGCCGCGGCCTGCGATCGTAGTTGTTAAGCAACTTTCGCAAAGGTCGGTCACAGGATGGTTGACCAAAAAATTACTATCTCGAGATTACTCCGTGCTTCAGAAGGCATGTTAAGCCAAATGCAGCCGGGAGCATTTGCAGTCGTTAATACCCTCCCTTCCGCATTGGGCCAGTGTGCAGGTTCATTTCCCCTCCTCCTTTACCATCCATAAGGAAGGTCTGAGCCCCTGCAGTAGGTACTTAAAAGAGTTGATGATGATGAGGATGATAATCATAAACGCATTATTTTAATACACAGGCGTGAAGAAGTATCAGAAGAGCGCAAGAAGATTGTTGAAGAACACGTACCTCATCTTCTAGGCTATTTACAAGCAGGTGTGATAAAGAAAGAAGATTTGCCGGCAGTAAGACAGGGAGTAGTGAAACATGAAAAACTCGCATCCCTCGATATCGATTCGCTGGCAGTAAGCAATCGACCTAAACGATATTCAAAGTGTAATGCCCAGTGTAGGATATTGAGGGAATATTGAATATTTGTACTTTTAATATTAGAAACAAATTAATGGAAAATTGTTAGTGTTACTGGTTTTTAAACGTATCAGACCCAGGGATTTTGAAGCATTTCCGCTCCATCATAGCCTAGAACGTTTATGAAAAGATTTGTAAAGCTTTTTCTTTTTTAACTGTAAATATGTTATTGATGATTTTGGCGCCCTCCTAAATCTGGCGCCGGGGCTGGAAACGTATATGTATAGTAGGAAACAACTGATATGGCTCATAGGTGTACTTGTGCAGAAGGATAAATTTCTAATCGCGGCAAATGTGGACCAATAAGAATTATACAAGTATCGCGCTATCGGGCGATCTACCAATAACTACGCGATCTTCGCTGTGTGCGAGTGAGACGGACATTCTATTATTTACCAGATTTCATGGACAAAACCAAATTGCGAATTGTTGCGTTGAAAAGGTAAATCGTTGGAAGTTCTTATAGCGATAAAGAGGTGGAAACTTTAAACTGCGTCACATCTTGTGAAGTCAAGGATAATGACTGGGTTAAAAAAGAAATTCTATTAAGTCCGACAGTCAGATAATAGAAAAATATTAGACACGTATTTTTTTATTATTTAAGTTTAACAAGAAATAGCTTAAATAACATGCATTAAAGTTGAAGAGTGGGGGCTCGCTACGTCACAGTTTTGTTGAAAAAGTACGAAAGCGTGACGTTATGTGATATTTTTATTCAATGTACCGTCGTTATTTAATGATTATGCAAAAACAAAAAAAAAAAAATACGTGTTCAAAATTTTTAACAATCTACCTGACGGAGGACAAATAAAAAAAAATTTAGTCATAATCGCCATTGATCATTCAAGGAAAGATCCAGTGCAAGCGATGTGTGGGCAGAAGAGTGTCAAGATGACTTAAGAATTTACGCCAGTGATTCGAAAGGAGCATTCGATCGATGTTTAGGGTAGCTTTATCGAAAGTGGAAATCTCCATAATTATTGCTAAACTACTAGTCTAGTACACTAGACGTTACCACACACAAAAGTACAGTATGTAATGCAGTTAATGTGGAATATTGTGATACTCGTCATGTCTCGTCTCGTTCTTGAGAGCAGCTGAACGACCACCTATCTCGGTCGCTATAACTCTAGCTAAAGTTATATAAACGTTTTGTTGATTTAATTAAATCAAAGGGAGCAATTCATTTTTCTTGTTGGAGTTTGTTTTACCAGATAAGACTCCCAAATTTGGAACTATGGTGGTTTACTTGCCGTAAACCACCATCAGCCAGGGGTCAATAAACGTAAAGAAATAAGCCAAATGTACTTTATAAAATACTTTTATTATGATTTATATATTCAATCAAATATTTAAGTTTATTGTATTTTTTAAAATAGCTTTGTTTGTCTAAATTTGAATATTTTTAGTTTAGTCAAACATAATATAATTCAGAACACAATAAAAACCAAAATGATTGATTGAATTTGTAAATAATAAAAAGAGAACATTATAAAAGAATATAAGCATATTCGTTTATATAATCAATTAAATATTTTTATAGCTATAGTTAAAGTGACGTAGTTAAGCGGTCGCTCTACAAACCCATTCCGATGCTGGCTGAAGGTACTATAAAAATTCATAATGAGTCTTGTTTAAATGGTCATAAGGTGTAAAATAAAAGGCATTAGATATCCGCCACTCCCACTTCGCGCGGGATAGGCACTCGAATCAACTTGAATCATTCCGATTGGTTGACGCGACATTTGGCGCGCTTTGAAATTTAGCCTTTAGTCTTACTTAATTGTATAATATATTTTTTTCGAAACAAGAGTAAGATATATTAATGGATTTGAAATTGCACATCTGCCCTGCGATTCTGTAACAATCCAGACCCGAATTCGAATTCACTCATGTGTCCGAATTCTCGTCATTTAGTATAGAAATCATATTGATTCTATTTTTTGTATAAAAATACTAAACAAAATTGATTGATTAAACGTGTCATAGATATTTTAATCCTATATAATTTCGAAACTCACTTCACTTATTTCACGAAACATTATTACCAATTCAAGTTTGAGCGGATGCCGCTTTTTGAAGTAAATTCGAACACCCGAGTGATTTCGAAATCGGGTTTGAAGTTTTACAGAATTGCAGGGCTGATGTACATATTTTACAATAATACTTTGATCTAAAGTTATAAATATATTACAAAAGAATCATATCCAATTTTGACTAAAAAATTTACTTAGGCGTGTGTGATGTGATATATCTCAAAAAATAGCTTATTTTTACTTATTGCGAGGTTGATAATAATTTTGCTACACTACCCCAATGCGATTCGGACCAAACGAAGGTTTGCTACATTTCGATGTATTCACTACGAAAAAAATATTCTTACGTCATAAGGTAAAAAAATGTGCACATTAACAATTACATTTAGATTTACTTCTACGCTTACGAGTGATACTATAAAAAAAACTTTGATTTTTATGCATTAATATTTAAAGAAGCTTCACAATTATCTTGAGTTTTGACAGCTGTTATAACCTCAAAACATTATTTACAAATTACGAGTCTCTCTGACCTCCAAATCAAAAAACGCTAAGACATTATCCTATTTTAAATAAAAACTAATATAAATTATCACTAATGGTGGGTAGACGCGACCTTTGAAAAAACGTGACAGGTCAATCAATGTATGGAAAGTGGACATGATTCTTAGTGTGATAACTCCATCCGTCCAAATTTTTTATGTAACTGAATACAATTTGGTAAAAATGTACTAGTGTTTTAGTATTAAATTTGTTTTATTAATTTCAAAAGAAATGTGTTTTATTTACATTTATTTTCCGTTAAAGTTATGAAAGCATTGTTTTTTACTATACTATCAATCATGACATCGTTGCTCAGATCGTCTTTTATTATTGCCTTTATGTAGCCTTTATAATATATATATATAATATTTTCACTACAAGTAGCTCGGTGGCATAGTAGACAAGCAACCTTTGCAAGGGTCGGTTACGGGATGGGTTACCAAAAAATTATTATCTTGAACTACTCCTTGCTTCAGAAGGCACGTTAAGCCGTTGGTCCCGGCAGCATTTGTAGTCGTTAATACCCGCCAATACGCATTTGGCCAGCGTGGAGGGTCATGGCCCATGCTCCTTAATCATCCATAAGGAAGGCCTGAGCCTCTGCAGTGGGGAAGAAATAAAGAGCTGATGATGATGTTGATAATGATGACAACAAGTATAAATTTTACAGAAAATAGTATATCATTGGAGACACCAAAGTATTCACCCCCACAAGGAGAATCAGTAATATAGCAGAGGCATACCCACTTAAACCTTCCGATATCTTTCTCTATGATAGGCGATATGCAAAAATTACTCAAAGGACATTCTCCAAGGTCAAATGCACGACCTTTAGAAATATGACTTAATAGAAATATGATAAAAGTAAACGATATATAGATTCAATCTATATTTTTGTTGTAGTGAAATTGACTTAATTATCGCGTGAGTTTTTGTGTATTTTGATATTTAATATATTAATAAAAAAAATGTTTACCTACTATAATAGCCGCTAATTATAATATTATTATAGAGGCAAATTTTCTGTGTATGTTTGTAGGGGGAAATATTGATTTGATCATTTAAATTCTTTCATCTACGGTAAGTAGGGATTCCGATCTTGATCTTTATGAATTTTATCGTAAAACGTAAAAGAAGTGTACGGTTAACGTTCTATACTTATTAAATAACACTGGCAAACTCTTAAATTTAATAAACTAAGCTATACAAACAGTGGAAGTGGCGAGGTGAAAGTCAAACAATAATTACACTGGAGCGGTCGGATGCTCGCCACGATACGCAGAAATATTTAAATGACTGAAATTAATTCTAAATACAACTCTCGAATATTAAAAGGGGTGTAATTTTGGTGTCGCCAGCATTTTTCTCATACTAGGATAGAGAAAACAGATTTTTTTTTAAGAAACGGCATCGTAGCCCTGCCTATTTTTTATATTTAGCACGTTCCGTTTCCATTTATAAATATGTAGAATGTAATCAGCAGTTACCACAAGTGACTCTCGTCCTATTTACCTAAGCCAAATAATTTATTGCACTTATACTTGTCTTATTTGAAATTAAGTAATTATTTTTGTTGTAGTTTTTCTATATAAAGTTAATATAGACAAAGTGTTGTAGTAGCTGCTAACTACTAGTGTTTCTAAATAATTATAACGTTAATTAAATAAAATATAAAAATAATTATTTACAAACTTAAACGAATTAAGAACTGTCGGATAGTGTTCATTGATTTCAAAATGGTATTAAAAAAACTATGTTACCAAACTGAGAAGTTTAAGTGAATATTTATATAATTTTCTAAAAGTGTACTACCCCTACAAGCTGCCGGTGAACGTTAGCATTTTTGCGCAATAAAGAAATAAAAGTTGCCAGATCAGCGGTCTGGTAAACACACGTTAGCATTCAAAGTCGATGATAAAAATCTCAAAAATAGCGTCCCCCCTACATAAAATCGACACTCCACTCGGTTTTTATTTGCTCGGCTGCCATTTTCGAGGCTTATCTGTCGTTGGCAGTATTAAAATCATGTTTGGGGTGTGTATTAAAAATAATCTTCATTTATGACGTTATGGTTATCTAGATGATATTGCAAACAAAGTATGAATATCCTTTGGACGAAGCTCGCGCACCGGTTTCAAGGTGTCGTCGTCTCTGAGGTTTTGGATTCGATTGCCGGTCGGATTACGTAAAAATGAATTTTCTATATTATCTAGGGTCCGGATTTGTATTACGATATTTCAAATTTACATAAAAAGCTTTAGATACTTAGTTTGAGATCTGAGTTATCTGCCAAGAAGAGGACACGTCATTTATAAAAATAGTATCTGCTTATTACGCTTTTTTTGGTAATTGCAACACTTAAGAAAACAAGATATTGATAATAACAGTAGGTATAATGAGTAGATTGAATTTAGAGAAACAAATTGATGTGCGAGTTACCAAAAAATGTACCAACTGATTGATAATTCCCGGTTGAAATATTTTGATCTACCTGGAATTTAAGCAAGATTAAATTTTTAATCGTTGTAGGTAGGTATTGTTGACAAAAGGTATAATTTTCTGATCTAAAACTTATAACAAGAGCAGTCAAATGTTATTTATGCTGCTGATTATTCTTCTTCTTGATTCTCTCCTGGTACATTATTAATGCTTCTTTGTACTCTCTTTGTTCCATTATATGCTTTTTCTCTTTCTTGCCCCAATGGGCTTGGTCGTAATACCATTTTTGATATTTTTCATATTCCTGTGGAAAATAAAACAATCTTAAGTTTTTAATTCTTAAACGATATTTCAGTGATATGATGACTGAGCCTAAGCAAGGAACTAACTATTTTATTTTCTGCATCATTTATAATGTAATCGTAGATTTCTTGTGGAAACAATCCATATGCGGCAATTCTGGAACAAAAACAATAATAAAAAACATCGTTTTCGCTAGTAGTAGGTATCTAGTACGAATCCAACAGTATAGCCGAGCCAGCTATTAAAAAAAATACAAGGGCTTTTGGTATTCAATTTGGAATCTGAGTGAAAAATGAATGAAAGTATGAGATATTTGTAGCAAATCTGTAGCATAAACTGTAGCATAAACTTTATGCCTACAGACTGCAGCACTAGCACAGGTTAGCGAACATTTTTTTATAAACATGAAACGCCAGTTACAAATTAGTGAGCAAAGATTACCTAAAGTAGATAATAATGTGTGTGTGGTGTACCGAAAGAATCTGTTTTTATATTCCTCATATTGTTACAGAAAATTAGATTTTTTATTTTTAACCATTAACAACAAGACTTTTCAAATCGTCGGAGTTTCAATCGTCCGTTCGGGATAATTTCCAATAGAATAGAATAGGTTTTTTATTTTGCAACATATATCACATACATAATTTAGGTATTTAACATACAGTTTACAAATATGACAAAAATAACAACAAGAAAGGGAAAAATAAATACATAATGAAGACACTGAGATCAAAATAATAATGGGGAAGTATTTTAAGAAAAAAAAAGAAAGCACTAAAAAGCTTCTCACTAGATGGCGACTTCAGCAAATGTTGATTTTAGCAGGAAACGAATGGATCAAAGATAAACATTTCTCTTCCTTTTAACTAACGTATTAAAAAACTGAAATTTACAAAGTGTGAAAAGTAGATATCAATACAAATACGAAAAAGTATAAATAGAATATGAGTTGTTTATTGAGTTTTGAAAATTAATCTATTAATAATCAACTTATTAATTAATATCATTTATTGTATTAATTGTATTTTTTTTAATATTGTATACATATATTTACATTATTTTTTTTGTTTTTGTCAATATTATTAGTTTCATTTAAGCGATGTTGCCGAGTTTATCTTTTTACTTGATACGAAATCGAGTAACGCAACGTAAAGAAATTACCAACTATTGTTATTTATAAACAAACCAACAAACTTATATATGCAAATAAATATTTAAGCACGACTAGTACCGATACAATCTTAGTTCATTATTAAGAAGTGATTTAAATATTTCTTACTGAATCAACCAACTAATTATCAAGCATAAATATTTCATGATTTTTTTTAATATTATTATCCAAAAAAAGATCATATCACATTTAATCAATACAATTTAATGTATATCCAAAATAATATAAAGAAATCATTACTCCAGTATCTTTTCAATTAATTGCCTTGTTGTTTTTCAACATGGATAGTAAATCACTTTATGTCAATCACTAGTGTAATATGTCATATTAAAATGGCTATTACACGTTTTTCAAGCACCTTAAATGTCTGTTATGGTTGAACGTGTTCTGATTGGCATGTTTGAAATGCAAATGTGTGCATATCTTTTGTATAATTGGTCTAATATTACGTCTGATGTAAGGCGGACAAAAAGTGGGACAAGACTGGCGATATCGGTTTTCGTACAAAGGATGCTTGATCGTCTTTCTAACCTTTTTTTCTATGTTCTGTGAGTAGCCCTGTTACATCCCCACTGCAGGGGCTCAGGCCTTCCATATGGATGGTAAAGGAGGATAGGCCATAACTTTCCACGTTGGCCCAATGCAGATTCGGGGGTATTAACGTGTTACGGCCTAACGTGCATTCTGAAGCACACAAGCAGTTTTTGGTCACTCGTCTCGTGACCGATCCTTGCGAAAGTTGCTTAACATAAAGTTTGCGGGCCGCGGCGACCTACGCTGTGCTTTGCATAAAATTATCTATTCTGTAGGTACTTAACTAGATAATAGAAATAAACTTATCATTTTATTGTAGTTTAAACTTAATTATATTTTTCGATAACATGGTTACGTTAAATCTAGAGCTGAAACGGATAGTAGTTTGACCGGATATATTCATATTATAGCAACAATAACATTATTATTAATTGGAAAAAAAACCACTCCACCATCGAGGTATATTTTTAGATAACTAACTTTACTACGCGTTCGGGAGATAAGAAGTCTGTGAGAGCCTTCTTTAGATATCCATAGCTGTATCCACGAAGGACGAATGCCAAGCCAGCTACATTCAAATCTGCAGGCACTGAGTGGTTACTAAAAAAGATATACTTATCTATAAATACAACCTTAACGAAATCATAACTCACGTGTGCTTTATCGTAGTCGGGTAATAGTAATGGTAATAGTAACCTGCATTACCTACGGCTATCAACAATAGGGATGATGACTAATTTTTGTTTATTTATCCGTCGGGTAGAGTGTTAAAAAATATTAAACACGTATTTTTTTCCTAATCATAAAATTACGGCGTTACATTGAGTTGAAATTTCGCATGACGTCACGTTAGAGTACGTTTTCTACTCAACTGTGACGTAGCGAGCCCCCACTCCTCAAATTTAATGCCTGTTATCTAAGCTATTTCTTGTTAATTTGAAGTAAAAAAAATACGTATCTAATATTTTTCTATTATCTGACTGACGGACTAAATAGAATTGCATTTTTTTTACCCAGTCATCATCCCTATTGCCAAATACCATATGAAGTATAACTAGTAACAAACTAGATAGCTAGAGAAGTGATTGTACTTGCTTAGTTGTTTTAGATCTAAGAAATGAAATAACGAATTGTTTCAAAACTATCGATTGAAAAAATAAAAGTGCTCAAGATACTCATTGATCCACTGTTTCAACAGTTTTACAACTCTGGAGTAGCTTGTGTCCGGGATGAGGACCGTAGTGTGGAATTGCTTCAAGAGTTGACTGCTATTGACAAGCCACGGGTCAATGCATGTACCTGTTAAAATGTGGTATGGTACAATCACCAACTTTCAACTGTTTTTGTACAAAGAAATTACGTCTAAATAAGCTGTAATTGAATCTGTTTATCGAATAAACTAGGTCATATTTCTAAAGGTTCTGCTTTTGACCTGGGACCTCCCTTTTAGTTATTTCTGCATATTGCCTATCATAGAGAAGGATATCGGAGGGTTTAAGTGGGTATGCCTTTCCTATTTGACTAGCGCTTCTTGTGGGGGTGAATCCTTTGGTGTCTCGAATGCCATGCTATTTGTTGTACCTATCTTACTCGGTAACTTAAATTGCATTTGACGGTTAATTCATTTGATTCAGCCAATGTTAATCTAGTCAAAGCAGTAAACCTGTAGCTGTGTGTAGCTGACTAGCGGCTACATTTCAATGTATCCATATATTGTGTTCAGATCAGATTGCTAACTTCATTTTGAAAAGATACTATACAGATCAATCAGGGCTTTATTTTGGCATTTGAAATCCGAAAAACAGTGTACGGATAGTGACGCAGTAGAGACGCGGCCAACTTGAAAACTGATTCATAATTGATTTTACTAACCGATGACTGTTATTTTGTCTGTTGTTTTAATCCTCTTGCACAACTTTCGTACTAAAACACGTCTCAAAATATTGGAGTTTTCAATATATTCACTTGGTTGGATCTATGTGAAAAGTCAAATTATAAAAAGACATAGCTTTACTATACGATAAATAATGTAAATAAAGCGTTTTCTTTAATTAAGAATTTATTAAAGCTAAACAAAGACTTAGAAGCGGAAGCGAAAATGCCTCCACAGAATCAGATGAAGATTGAAGCAGAGATAGAAAAAGCTACCTAGTTAAACATAAGAATACCTCCTGTTTATTGCTCTAAGTGTAAAAGAATATGTAGCGACTATAATGACAAAGCTTGTGCAGGTGAAATTGTTGACAGAACTTAGTAAAAAGAGACAACGCAAGCTATGTATGGAGTCTGGGACGTACAAGCAAAAATCTATATTACACAATCAAATTTGGATATCTCTATCAAAAATAAGAATAAATATAATTTTCTGCTGCTACTAGTGGGTTCTCAAGTTAAAGTATTTTTTATGTTGTTGTATTTTGGAATATCGTAGTATTAAGATTGTATGAAATGGATATTAACTCGATAGATTGATAGTTAGGTTTTTCTTCTACCTAGGTATTTATATCATGGGCTGACAATGGCCGGTGTAATCCGGTCGAAACGTCGGGAAATGTTGGTAGGTGAAGAACCTAATTATTAATCTATCGCGTTAATACTCGTTTCATACAATCTAATATAATGCAACGCGAAAGTTTAGAAGTTTATATTGTAATAGTACTTACTTTTTTAAAGTACAATTTGTGGATGTGACGTATGAAAATGACGCAGGGTTGAACTGCTTTTGCGCATGTGGTCACTGAGTGAGAAACTTTGAGCAATTCAGCAGTCGACAACGCTTGAAGTTTACTGAGATCCAATACGAACAAAACGGCATCTGAGGGTGAAAAATCTTGAAGTTTTGTCTTCTCTCATATTATTAATGATGACATTAAACTGTCGTTGGCTGTGGTGGGTGGCCTACACCACATGCGGTGCATTGTCGCGCGCGTTAAAGCCCTTATAAGTTAAAAAACTTTCAAAAATTTTTATGTTCACATCACACATTTTTTTAAATAAAATGAAGTAGAAATTAGGGGGATTAAAACTAAATGTACAGAAAAATTGATTTTTTATTGTACAAGAGTGCAAAGTTACTTTTTAACCGCGCGCTCATGACCGAGTAAAAGAGTATGACGTGCAAATTTTCAAAATAAGCAAATCTTTGCACTCGAGCGCAACACGTAACTTTTCATCCCACTTCAGCGAGGAAATGACTAAATGCAAAGAAAACATTAATAATCACAAGATACTTTTATTTCAGTATAGGTATTAACTACCACATTATGATAGGTAAGCATTATAGAACAATCTTTAATCTAAAAATCCCGCTTGGCAATTATAACATGCTGCAAAGTCTTTGTGCCAATTATTGTATTAGTTTTTGTGATAGATAAGCTCACATAAATTAAAATATTCCCAAAAAAATGACATAAAACATCGATACCTTTGCTTAGTATTATGTTTTGATACTAAAAACTCATTGGTTTAATTCATATTTGAGCAACTCACCATTAAGACTAGCCAAAGCATTTACTAGTACAGTCTTCCCGCTTAGATGAGGTCCCACAATGAGAATAGAATGGGATCCGTGGGCTACTTCACGACACCGGTCCCACCATACAGCCCTTATCTCACCACTGAATGGATATGCTGGTCTATTAAAATATGAACCAAGTTTATAATCAGACTGCGTTCAACTAATTTAGGTAGGACATATTGCTAGATATAATACCCTAATTTAAGTGATTCAAAGACTACTATTAGTTTTTATGAAAGCGTTGCCCTAATGTTTTTTTACTAATTAATAACAAAGACTAACTCGTATTGGCATCGAATGTCATCTCCTGCATAGTTGTGATCTCCCAAGAAGTCTTCCAACTTAGTTCGTGGGTATTGCGTTATAATACCCCTAAATGCTAAATCCTTGAAAAATACAAATCGACACTGTTAACATTTAGGTTCCCAATACGAATTGAATGTTTAAACAAATGTAAATTGCTAACTTAAAAATCAAAGTCCTTGAGATTCTTATATAGATTCAGACACGACTGATGTAGTCAAAGAAGTCTCAAATGCAAACATTGAAAAGGAGGTACCGGATTAACAAGGAAACATTTATTTTTGACTATTCAAACAGTTCCTAGCCGCCAAAAGAGGCTGTCAATCTTAAAGTCAAAACATGATATTATAATCGAATTGTAAAATAAATTGCAAAATTTGATGACGTTGCTGAATACTAACAATATAAAAAATCTTTAAAATATACTAAAATTAGATAGAAGTAAACTCTCCAACATTAATTGTTTATTTGTAGGGGTAATATTCGAAAATACTGATTCGATCATAAAAATTCATTCACTTTTCATGCTACATTATATACGGATGACATAGGTTATATTTCACGAGGGCGAAGTTACGGGAAAGCAGCTAGTGTAAAATATTTAGTATTAATATTTAAGGTCGGGACATATTTAGATATGAAGATCCGTCAAACATCTTACGATAGTATTACTATGCGACAAACATCCGTCTTATGTGAAAGGTTGAATATCAAATCATATATCACTTGAAGTTTTGCGACCGACGACGCTACGCAACTTATCTTCCGTCAGATATGTGCCGATCTTTAGTTGAAGGCAGGGTCCACTTATTACTACAACCTCCATTTTTTCCGCGATGCCTTCGCTGATATTGTATTTTTGCTTCTTATTATTTTTCTTTTTACGTCCTTTACCTTTACGCATTGGTTCTGGCAATTTTTCATCCATGTTTTCGTAATCGTTTTTGAGTGCTTTTTTTAGAAGTTTCAACTCTTCTCTAGACAAAAATGTATATTTAATTGAAATTTAATGATAAAAAGAACATAATATTATTATCGTATTAACTTCATTTAATAACTTATTTATAGAAATTATATATTTTTTAAAATATTGTATTTTTTTTTATGGGATAGGGGGCAGACGAGCAGACGGGTCACCTGATGGTAAGTGATTACCGTCGCTCATGGACACCTGCAACACCAGAGAGGCTACAAGTGCGCTGCCGACCTTAGAGGGAAGGGTTGAGGGGTAGAGGGAAGGGAATAGGGAGGGGTTGGGCCTCCGGCACTCTCACTCACACGACGAAACACAACGCAAGCGTTGCTTCACGTCGGTTTTCTGTGAGGCCGTGGTATCACTCCGGTCGAGCCGGCGTACTTTTTGTTTATACCTTATTAAACACTGAGTAGTAAAAAATCATAGAAAAATACTGTTTAATTAGTAATTCATCCCACTCATCATAACTTAACCCATGTGGCAGTGATTGGAAGTTCAAATTGATCGTCATAAGATTATAATGATGAAACTTCTTAAAATATGGTTTGAGACATTGACTGTAATGTGTATTAAAATGTAACTATTTTATTTATTTTAGGAGATCATAAACACATAGATACATATTTACCTCATGTCATCGTTTACCGCGTTCATAATTTCTTTTCTAATTTCTGCGTACACGTTATTAATATCAACATCATGTACAAATCTTTCTTTGACATCCAAAGAATTTAGCAAGTCAAGTTGACTCCAATCATCATTATAGCATTTAATGACCTGTAAGTGGTTTCCAATTTGTACAGTTTCAAATGTAAATATACTACAATAAGTACAAAAGACATACCTCTAAAATATGATTAGTTTTTTTAGATTGCGGATAAATATAGCCAGGATGTAGAGTCGGGTTCTTCATAAGTTTTCGCATTAGTTCAGTTTGTAGTTTTTTCTTTATAAGCTCTTCTCTCTTTTTCATCATGGCTTCTTCTTTAGCTTGCATCTCTTCGTATTTCTTCTGTTTTGAAGGTAATATGGTACAGAAAAGTGTTTGTATACTCAGTACTGTATTTTAGGAGCGTTTTTATAACATTAATACAATTTAAGATTTTTTTCAATCTAATCAAATGGTAAAAATATTTGCAGCTTTTAAGGACTACTTTCCAATCGCGTCATTGGTGTTGGATGATGATAATAGTTCTCATTATGTAGTGATTCCCTTTCATTAGGTGCGAATAAGATATGTTATTTTATTGGTTACATAAACATTGCATTTTCTCTTAATTAGACATTTATCATTAGCATTTTAAAGTAATAAACTTATTTCACATAAAGGTCCTGCAAAATCTAGAGCCCCATTTGGCATTGCCAGCGACGAGAGGAAACAGCAAATAAGTTACTGTGAAGATGTCCATCTCCCTTTATTTATTACAAGTTGAGACCTGGTGTATTTCGTATCACTTCTCATCATTTAACCATCCCTGGACTACAATAAACATCTCAAATCAAAAAATCAGCTAAATCGGCCCAGCTGTTTTATTTTAAGTGAGACAAACGAACTACAATTGATATAATAATTTGAACTATAACTCCAAACCTCGTAATAATAAGTTCATTAAATCTGAGCAATCTTACTTGCATGGCTGTTTGATTTTTGTTAGATTTCTTATCCGCTAAATATTGTTCATATTGTTCCCACCATTCGACTGGATCAGGCAACTCCTCTTTCATTATCAGAACTGATACTATTTCACTTTGTTTAGGAATATCATAAAAATATTTGATATCATCAAACCTGTAAGATGCAGTTTTCTAATATTATTGATCTCTTCAGTGTATCAACACTGTTATTATAAAGACGAAAGATTTGATTGTTTTTTGTTTGTTTGCTTTGAATAGACTACGAAACTACTACTTTTATTACCTTTGGGAAGCTACCACGATACATGTGCAATAACAGCGAGTTGTATATAAAAGCAAGTTATTAGGAGGAAGGTTTTCAATTCATGATTCCACCCGCATATTTAAATATCATTACAGATAAGATTATTGGAAAATTGTGACAGATCATACTTTATTTAAAAATTCTTATAAGGTAGGTATTTGAAATGTCTTTATTTATTACCTTTATATTTTTGTTCAATAATTATCTTCAACTTTATAAGCCTTGAGTAATATCTTTTTATTTCATAATGCAAGATAGCGACGTTTATATTTTTTTTATTACAGTAAATATGACTAATTCTTTACCGTCTTCGTATTTATTTTACACCTAATTGTTAAATCAATAAAACAGGTTAACTTACCATTTCCTAAACCAACATCTAACAAAATCTCTGTAGTTTTCTGCTACATCGTCCAACTTTCTTTTCATAAATTCTTGTTTAAGTTTCTCACACGAGTCCCGCCATTCTAGCTCGATGATTTTCCTGCGCTGCATTCGGTCGAAACTAAGCTAAAAATAGAAAATTAAAAGATCAAGTAAAATAAGAAGTTCTTATTTTTTAAAGTACCTAAATGTAAACTTTACCTTTTCTGACCTTACCTCGTCATTATTATTAGAAGGATCTTTATTGAGTTTTCGATTTAATTGCATTCCCAATAATTCATATTCTTTAAACTGTAATTTTCTTTTTCTCTTTATTTCAAAGTAAGCCCTGTGAAAATTAATAAAATATTTTTAAATGATTATTATTGTACGAATGAGCTTAATACAAAAGTAATTATACTCTGTTTAAAGGAGATTTTATTGTATTCTTCACAAATGTTACTAAAATGAAATAATGAATTTATTGGTCGTTTATATGGTTGATTTTTTTTTAAATAAGCACACATCACCAATGTCATTTTGTATTCTTCCTGAGTAGTAATTATATGTCAATGCTGCTTCGTATTAATTAAAACTTTGTATTTATCATATTTGATAAATTATTCCTTCACAATACTATACTGAAAAACAATCTTAATGAAAAATGCTCAAAAAAATCTAAAAAAAATCCTTTTTCCCTGAGATGGAACTCGAACCGCCCACAACGCAATTGCCCGGATAGGATTTTTTGAGCATTTTTCATTAAGAGTGTTAAAACTTTGTTTCACCAACCTGAAAGCTTTTTGTATAAGTTGAGCGCTCCTTTCTTTGATTTTTTGTGGAGCTTGAGGTTTTAACGTTCCTTTTAATGCTTTTTCCCATATCTCCCTTTTCTGTTTTTGAAATGTTCTGCGTTGTCTTAATTGTCTTCAAATTGAAACACATTAAAATATAATCGTATATGGGTATAAATATATTGTTTTTAGTATAATTCAACTATATCGCAATAATATTAAACTATTACCAAATTCACTATATGAAATATTTATATCATGATAATTGTTGCTTACAATAGTTTATTATTTACCGAGAGCGTTCGTGTGCTTGAATTATGGCTGCCATTTGTTTTCTTTGCAGCGTTTCTTCTGATTCTTTTTCTGTAATAGATTCTTGATAACTTTCATTTTCTTCCTGTTGTTCATCGTCCCACCAATTTGTTACAGGCCTGGATTCATTATTTTTCAATTGTTCTGACTCTAAAGCTGATAGTGTTGAGGTTGTTACTACTTTTTGTTTCCGTTTATTAAATTTTTTAAAGTATAACGTTGGTATAATTACTTGTTATAAATATTTGAAGATATATCAAGATTTACAACATCGGTTAAACTGAATGAACTTTCAATATTCGCTACTATTACCTAATCTCCGCAGTTCTTGTTTCCTTTCTTCTGATTTTTTAAATGCTTCTTCAATAAGTAATTCTATATGTTCAGGCCTTTTTACATGAGGTGGAAATTCAGACAATTCAGCATCCATTGGTGTCAACTTATGATTGGCGAGACCGTGCCCCATGAATTGTATGTTGCTGCATTCCAGTTTTCTAATATTGTGTTTTAATTCTAAAATCCTAGAATTTATCAAGACATAATGATGGAAGAGTCAACGACAGTCATATCTAAAATAGCTTTGGATCAGGCTACACCAAACAAACTTTAAAGTGGAGTCTGTAGATTGACAAACGTAATGTGGGACGGCCATAGACTAGATGAGAAGACGACCTTCGCAAGATAGCTGGCGAAAACTGGAGGGTACTGGAGAGTAGTTGGAGAGAGAGTTCGATAGCGTGCGCTTGGAAAAACCTATGTCCAGCAGAGACGAACACAAGCTGACGATGAAGTTACTTTATTATTTACTGTTACAAGTTTTAAAAAAAACGAAAGATTGAACGATATTTCACCTTTTAGTGATGGCTTTGACCACATCAGCTATGTAGTGGACTTTTTGTACTTGCAAATTTTGTTGCAGGCACTCCAATGCTTCGTTGTGCAGCTGATTGTACCGTCCGAGTATACCAGTTAGCCGCATCACAGCCGCGCAAATAGTTTTATCATGTTCTTTGCTACTCTAAATATATTATATAACAAATTAATTTTTATAAAGAATATTAGAAGTTCATATGAAGTTAGATATACTTCTAATGTATGAATCAGAGTCGATGCTTTCACCTTATCTGTGTATCAGTATATACAGATAAGATTTCAAATTTCCCTGTGGAAATTATAGTATATAGATGACGACTAATTTTTCTTTGTCTATCCATCATCGGGTAGATTATTGAAGAATATTAAACATGTATTTTTTTGTGTATTCAATAAATTACGGCGATACATTACGTTGAAATGTTGCATGACAATTGTACATTTTCTACATAGTTATGACGTAGTGAGCTATTTCTCGTCAATTTTATTGCCTATTATCTTGTTAAATTAAAGCAAAAAAATATGTATCTAATATTTTTCTATTATCTGACTCACGGAGTAAATAGTATTTAATTTTTTTAACAAGGCATAATTTATAATTTGACTAAGCATTATAAAGGGGTTCAAATACGTGTGATTGTCATCTCTATCAGCCTTACAAGATACTCGTTACAGGATAACAATCTACCCACACGGGCCCTGTATGGATTGGTGCTATAACGCATAGGACATAATTATTTTGTACTAATTATTATGTTAAAAACAGTTCTAAACAAAAAGACTTTACCTGATATTCTAAGTCGAGTTGTACTAAATCTTCTAAGTGAATAAGGGTTTGTTTCCATTTTCTGAAATAAAAGTCAGAGGACATTTTTCCCCACCTTTGAATTAAGTTTGGAGTGTTACAATTCACTTCGATATTTTAATTTATTATCACAATTCAAGAAAGTAAAAAAATATAAAATATGTCTGAATTGCATAGGTGTTATCGAGTTGGTTACGAAACCTGTGATTTGGTTTTTTAATAAAAAAAAAATAGGTATTTGAATCCAATTTTAATATAATGAGATCAATCTAAAATTTTTGTGTAATATATTGCTTTTAATTACATTCATCATCTGATCAAAATGACCATTCAGTAAAATGATTATTTTGACTTACTAATAATACATGGAAAACCATACGACAAATTTGTGACCTAACCACTAAACAAAACCTGCGTATGTACTCTTAAAAACGGAGCAAACGAGCCAAGCTTATATGATCAACAAAACTTTGCAAATGTTGGAAGTACCCTTGCTGACAAAATAATATCGAATATCGGGAAGTCAGAAGCGGAACTGGCTCATGGCTACAAAAGCAATAAGAAAAATATACCAGCAAACTCTTTAGTGCTGTTGCAAACTGATGAATATGAAATTATTTAAATTGTTATGTCACTCAAAACAACACCGTCTACGGGCTGGGATGATGTACCATCGACACTACTGAAACTAGGGATCAGGTACAGAGCGGGACCTGATCCCTAGTTTCAGTAATGATAGATAGCTCACTTGTGTAACTTGGTGTTATCTTCCGGAATTTTTCCGTTAGGGCGCTTGTGCACTACACTGAATTTTCAGGTCCGGCGGTCCGATTTTTTCCGGTCCGGAATGACATGAAAAACTCGGATGAGTAGCTTGTGCACTTGTCCGTTTTTTTCCTGATCGGAGCGGCGCAGTGTAGGGCAGCTCTCTTTGAAGCTACACGTCACTTACGCTAGGTACGATGAGATTTTTGAAACGTCGGTAATTCCGTTCTAAGACGTAGAAAGGTACCTAAATAATGATCTGATCGTTTAACATAAACCATAATAAATTATGGCCAGACGAAAGCATTTTTTTTACTACTATCGGATGACTACTATCAGATGTAAAAACTTATACCCTTACTAATTTAGGAACAGCATTATTCACACACAATAGCTAAAAATAAACTGCGACATTAGAATAAAATTACTGATAATGGTCTAGTACTTGATAATTAAATTTTTAAACGTGCTATTTTTGTAAAAACAACTTTCAGCGATTACAGAGATAGACTAATCGGTGGCGCCATTTCGTAAACAAATCGTTATTAGTGCCGTGTTATCGGAGAATTATTATGCTAAATGAACTTTACGAGATCAGTTGACTGTATTATATATAAGCTTAATTTTATACGCGTGGTGTAGTTTCTTTGAGCAGAAATATTATTCCCTTAGAATACTTCTTTTATTAATGACACAAACATACATTTAAAATTTTATTAAATGCGAAAAAGACATTGAGTGTCAATTACTTTTGTTAATCTTCTGTTTATTCTTTATTATGACTTCTGTTGTCAAATATTTATCTATACTTATCAATTGTCTAAAAAACTTTGATAATGACAAATTTCCAGGCAAACTTTCATCCCCTATTTTTCACGATAAAATGTAGCCTATGTCATTCTTAAAGTTAAGTCTATTTACTATATTAATTTCCATTTAGATGGGTCTAAGCGTAACTACACTTATTTATCTTACCTTAAGCTATCGATACTTTTAATACGATTCTAAAATCTAGCTAAGTATCGATACTAGAACCATACGCTGATCAAATTAGAACTATACCGAGTTTGCCAAAGCATATGCAGTGATATATACCAACTATATTAAATCATCATATAAAATATAACATTTTTTAATCAACAATAAATATAAAATATCGATTATAAGTTTATTGGAAATTAACAATATCGCCGAAATAAATATCGATTCAAATCGATTATTTTTCACAAGCCTATTCCTTATGAATTTTCCGGATCTCGGACACAGCAGTGCACAAGCGTAAACACGTTTTTCATTGCCGCCATCACGGACCTGAAAAAACCGGTCCGGAATAGAGAAAAGTAAAATTCCGGACGGTAAAATTCCTGATAGTGCACAAGCGTGCATTACCTACATATGGCCTGACATATCGGACCTGAAAAAATCGGACCGCCGGACATGAAAATTCAGTGTAGTGCACAAGCGCCCTTACTCAAGAAGTCTGTGATCATATCTGTCTTCAAATCTGGTCATAGAAGCAGTGCCGATTGCTTTAATATCGCTTTAATAAAGCATTACTAAAATAACAGAAAAAGCTATAAATACTAGGTTAATTAGGTTCCTTAATAAAAACAATTTTATACCAACAATACAGATTATACAGATTCGTTATGTTTTCGGCCATCTTTGAAACTCTGACCAGACATCTTTTTGTATCGAAGTTTAATTTACGTATCACTTCCTTTACCAACTTACACCTTAAGAAAACTTTTATTTTTAATAACCACATTTTTTTTAGTAATTTTTTTAAACACATAGGTATTAGTGGTTTTACAGTGATACGTTCTATCAATATTTATTATAGACATTAAAGTGAAATAAATAATGAATATGGAAAATATGTGACAAAATATTTAACTTAGGTACCTAATGTATTACTTATGAACTTTATTTAGATAAATTAATATATGTTACAATATAACAATGATTATTATAAAATGAAATCGTCCATTAGCCAATAATATAAATATCATTGACTTAACTTGGATAGTACCTACGATGGTAATAGTTACAGATGTTCTTATGTAAACTACATATAATATTGTTTTCACGGTTAAAAAAAAACAAATATATCACAAGGTATTTATTCTATTCGTAGGATAAATACCTTGTGACATATAAGCAGCTTTCTCTGTTTTCTTAATTATAACTTTCTACTTAACTGTAAGACAAAACTGTATTTGTGATACAGAGGAAAAAAATAAAATTTATTATTATATCTTTATACTAATATAAGAAAAATGAAAGATTTAATGGTTTGTTTACATCTAAAAGACTCTAAAATTAATAAACTACTCTATTTTAATAATTCTTTCACCTGTGGGAAGTTACATCATACACGGCTGTAATTTACGCGGTTGAAGAAGCGGGAGAACGCGTAGTTTGTTTATAATATATAGCCTAGCGCTATAAAGCCACACAACAAAGAAGGTAGTTATCTTTATTTTAATTATGGTGCCATTCACTGTACGACTATTATTCTAACAAACCATTTGACCACTCCAACGCTTTGACGACTATAATACTAACAACGTTTGCAACAAAAAGGTTCTCTCACTCCCGTAAATAAAAGGGGTGCAGTAACGAAACGTCGACGACACATTTGGAACACGCCGGCAGACGCTGCGGAAGGCTTTACTACTTCCGGTAACAAGATGGCCGGGCATTGAGCGCAACCGGAAAATGGCGCCCAAACAAGATATAGCTGTCCCTATTTCAGTTAGATTCTCGTTTAATTTTGAACGCTAGTGTAAGTATCATGGAGTTTCTTTTGGCATATGTTGTTTTTTAACATGGTATTTTAAATTTTTCCAATGTGGAGCCGCTCGTAGCCGTCAAGCGCGATCGGTGTCATTTCCCCCATCGAGGATGACATAAAGTTTTCCGGCTGTCAATATGATAACGCTATGTTTGCCCTTTCACGATTAAATGAACTGTAGCTAAACATGCCTACCATTTTTAATATACTTAAAAATAAAAGTAGGCAAGCAATTTTATTCGACCTATATAGTTAAATTCTTCACGTTTTTGTTAATAGTATCTGTCTGTATTTGTGTATTTGCTGATTTGAATTATTGGCCTTTCGAAATGTATTTTATTGATTGTTACATTTCTAAATTTAATTTACTTGATTTAAAAAAATATATGATTTAACATTAGTATTGAGGGCTTTAAAAAAATAGTAATAAGTTAATTAATACGAAAGATGTAACATTTTTCCTATGAAACACATGTTAAACTTAGTTCTTGAAATTTCTTCTTATGATTAAGTAATTAATAAGACTTGTAAACATAATACCGTCAAAAACATTTTCACGTAAAATGTTGCCAAGACGGAACCATATGGCTCAATCTAACAAAAAACTTCAGATCTCATGTAGAGCCAAGCTTCTAACTCTTCACGCCATAAATTTACAAACCTTAATTTTACAAGCTTTACACTTAGTCAAAATATGTAGCTAGTCCGTTTCGTTATTACAAAAACTACTGTTGTATATATAACAGTAGTAAACTTACACCTATGTGACGATAGCAAAACGGCCGGACCACATATTTTAACTAAGGTGTAAAGTTTAGGTTTGTAAACAAATGGCGTGTAGAGTTAGAAGCTTGGCTCTACAAAAGATCGTAAAACTTTTTAATAGATTGAGACATATGGTCTCGTCTTGGCAACATTTTGAACGATAATGATTTTATTTATTTATTTATTGGATATCTATTTCGACTTTTTATTTAATGTAAACTTCCAAAAACGATAAAAGACGTCGCTGTTATTGTATTAGTAAGGTAACACTTCGAACGTTCTCAAGAAAATATCAACACTCTATCCTCGAAGAATTCCATTGACAATGTAATGGAAGACGATGAAAGTTCTCATAAGAAGGCTTGTGAAAATAAATTCGATACATCGCGAGGGAGGAGAAAAAACGAGATAAGTTCGACGCTAGAACAATAACGAGAGGTTCCAGATATTTCATATTTTTATCCGACTTCAAAAAAAGGAGGTTCTGTTTGACGTGTATGTATGCATTTTTGTGGGGGCGAATATCTCGCGTTTGAATGAACCGATTTTGGCGTGGTTTTCAGAAAAGTTTTTTTAGTGTTAACTATTATTTAAAAAAATATATCAATATCACTAAAAACAATAAAATAAAACTTAAAAATCTATCCCTATCGCTAGATAGACAGATGATATAATGCATATCTAGATTATCTGTTTAACTATAGTTCTTAATAAAGGTACATACAATTTAAATAAAAAA